AGAGAGAGAGAGAGAGAGAGAGAGAGAGAGAGAGAGAGAGAGAGAGAGAGAGATCAGCGACATTTGGGTTGACGACATTCCCCCTTCTCCTTTGTCTCTTCCCCATCCTCCTCATCTGTGTATGAGTTAGGCCTAGCACCTTCGTCCTGGTGTGCGACGCCGGGCCATTCACACCGTGTGATGATGATGATGTATGTCCAGTCTGCCTTTCGACATTGACTGGGTCTGATCATTTGTATTCCAGTCTTCCATTGTGCTATCCTGCTCTATCTGTGAGAGGTCAGTTCTTGGTTCTGGTATGTACCATCTTGGTATGCGACAAACGCTCAGGATCAACAACTTGGAACTGACGAAAAAGAAGGGACCAAGAGAGGATTGGCTATTGACAGAAATGTACCTAATAGTGGACTGCGGCGCAACAACAAGCAGGGTGTCTAAAACTTCAGAAGGCCACGTGAGTTTGAGGGCGCATCTCGTACGGAAGGTACGGGTACGTAATTGGAATCATCAATTTTTACCATTTACTGCCCACCTGTGGCATTAGATGGTTTAGAAGTTGACCACAGGGAGTGGGCTAGAACCTCAGAGGAAGGCACACCAGAGTGACGCTCAGGATCAACAACTTGGAACATACAAGAAGGACGGGCTACAAGCCAAGGATAACTTGCATCAATTGGAGGCTATCTTAGGGCAGATATGGGCTAAGCATCTGGGGTTCGAAAAGCGGTTAAGCTCCAGAATTTTGGATGGTCCCGGCCTTGGACCATCAGGCTACCACGGGTCAGGAGCATGCAATGGCTCTTATAATACCTGGCACTCCCAGTTAATGAATGAATGGTTGAACAACGAGGAGGAGCAACAGAGAGGGTCTCCTCTAACAGAGCTTTGTGCGATCTGCATAGAGGGAAAGTGGAAACCGTGAGTCATTGTCTGATTGATTGTACCAAGGATCAAGGCTCTGCGGATATGAGAGAAAGTGAAGGATACATGGGGACAAGTGTCGAGAAAATAATTCCCTAACGACCAGTTCGCGCTTCTAACAGGCTGCTACCCCCTGGACGACTGGATGAAGTTTGATGGGAACTGCTTTCTCCTTTGACATACCTTACACCTTTGAATATGTCTGATACAGTCAGACGCCATTCCTGCCCACATATATGATCGGAGCAAGTTCTTCCTCTGTCTGAAATGTCCCTCTGCATAGTGGCACTCTCCAAGCACTACGCTGCGAACCTCTTCATTATTCGGAATGCAGAGTCTATCCACACCACTGCAGGCTGTAAACAGCATACCGTAAACTATCCTGATTTCGCTAAGAATATCATCAAGTACGCAGCGGCATATGTCACTACTGTACCAAAGTAGTCTGCCCTCCCAGAATGTGCATCTGCAACGCCGTCCAGAAATTAAGCCATAATAAAAAAACATATTCCTTTAACCGGCTTCAATTCTAGACTGTCTTGAGCCAGCATAGTGTCTCATTATCTTAACAAGCAGATGTCCACCGCAGATGTGATGAAAATCATGAGGGGGGAAAAAAAAAACATCGCGAAGATTACGGACAGTTCGTTTCTCTGCATGGCCAGGCAGGACCAAGCAAGCTAAGCGGCATTCAGTGGCCCGGTCGTGAAGATCAGCGACAGTCCGTTTCTCTGCACGGCCAGGCAGAACCAAGCAAGCTAAGAGGCATTCAGTGGCCCGGCAGACATGCGGTGCATCTTTCCATGTCCCAGCAGGTCGTACTATGAGTAGTAGGTGGTACTACGTGGCGTGGGTGACATGGTGATGCAACATCGGTCGTACTATATGGAGTGGGTGGTACTATGCGTCGTGGGTAACACAGTGATGCAACATCGGTCAGGTGACACAAAGCGCCCCCCCCCCCAAAAAAAAAAAAAGGAAAAACACTGTCCCCCAAAAAACCACATGGCAGGATGGCACAAATGCTCCCACCCGACAGCCCCACACACACGGGAAAAAAATAACAATACTATGAGGAGTAGGTGGTACCATGTGGCGTGGGTGACACAGTGATGCAACATCAGTCGTACTATGTTGTGGCATAGTCAGTACCACACGGGCCCGGCAGGGCCCGACCAGGTAGACTAAGGGTCCATACGTGTAGGGCCTGCTTTCGTTTCAGTCTAAAAGCCTGAAAACGAGGGCCTACAGGCCCTGTTTTCATTTCAGCCTAAAAGCCTGAAAACGAGGGCCTACAGTCCCTGTGTCGTTTCAGCCTGAAAGCCCGAAAACAAAGGCCTACAGGCCGTCAGTCTTTTCAGCCTGAAACGGAGGGCCATTTTCAGGCCCTCATAAGATCGACCTGCCCTGAAACTTAGGCACCAGACCAGGGTTTTAGAACAGGCCATTTTGGGCCTGTTTTCAAGACAACCTTTGTTTGAACTTCAATGCCAGGGTCTGGCACGTTTTGGCATTGGCAAGAGCAGCCTCCTGGACGGGCCAGCACTATATAAGACTGGCCCGCCCTACAGGCTGCAGGCAGTCAGGAGGCAGTTCATAGGAACTTCCCAGGCACTTCAC